AGAGAGTTAGAAACATCTATGAGAGAAAGTCATTGATCAGCTGCCTCTTGCACACCCCTACTGGGGATATGCCCACAACCAAGGTACATGCCCTTGACCGGAATCAAACCCGGGACCCTTCAGTCTGTAGGCCGACACTCTATCCACTGAGCCAAACCGGTTCGGGATGTTTTTAAAAATGAAAAGAGTTACTTATATATGTTATATATTAGTAGTTGGCTAGTTTATGAATGTTACTGACAGGTTTCGTTTCTCTTTTTGACTCTAGGTCCTAATGTCACTTCATGAAATGTTCCCTGCAGTTCATGCAGCAGAAATGGCTGTGCAGAGAAATCCACATTCGTGGGAGTCATGGCAAACTCTGGGGCGTGCTCAGCTTGGATTAGGAGAGATAGTCTTGGTAAGGAGTCAGATGATTATAATGCTAATATTTTGTTTTGTTTTTTTAAAATATTTATTTTTAAAGATTTTTAGATTTTTAAAGAGAAAGGAAGAGAGAGGGAGAGATTTGAGAGAGAAACATGGACTGGCTGACTAGGAATTGAACTGACAACTTTTCAGTGCACTGGACAACTCAACCAACTGAGCCCCACTGGCCAGGGCTATGATTTATCCAGGGCTAAAATTTTATTTTGACATGTTTTGATCAGCTCAACCCAAAAGTTAGTCATTTATCAAGTCTATGCAAAAAAATAAATAGCCAATCAGCCCTTAAAGGTATTAAATCACAAACACAGGTCAGAGTTATTACTGTTATTTACATCATAAACACCAATTATATCAGGGTCAGAATATTTTTCATGTAATTAGAATCATGGAAATTAATAAGGAAAATTCACATAGCCTGTAAGCATAATGACCAGTCTTGGTCTATGCCTGACTTGAAATTGAACCTGCAACCTTTTGGTGTATGGGACGACACTCTAACCTAGGGGTGTCGAACTCAATCAGAGAAGGGGCCAAAATCTAAAATCCAGCCTAAATCGCGGGCCGAATGGTTTACTGAACAGTCATAAACTGTCATTGTGATGGAAACGCAGCAGAGTGCAGTGATGACAGCGCGGTGCGGGCCACATTGCAAGGCCTAGCGGGACGGATTTGGCCCGAGGGCCTTGTGTTTGACACATGTGCTCTAACCAATTGAGCCACCTGGCCAGGGCAAAATTTTAAATTTTTAAATAAGAGTACTCATTGTTTAACTGTTTCATTTCATTTTTTTCCTGTTGATATGGTTTTGCCCACTACGTTGTGAAATTCTTGAAGGAATTAAAACAGTTACTTTGTCTTCATTTAATGTTTTTTAGGGCTCTATTTGAATAAATATCTAAATTTGTAATATTTATATAAAATTAATGTATCTTTTGAAAGATTGGAAAGGTTGAAAATTACTCAATGTCATAATGAAGGGATACTATGAAAAATATATTGAAAGCAAGCTAAAATTTCTGACATATAACAATTCTTATTACAGGGGTGGGCAAAAGTAGGTTTATAGTTGTTTGTATGAAAAATAATACAATAATCTATACCAATAAAAGGGTAATATGCTAATTAGACCTGGTAAACTGGACATCTGGTCATCCTGCCTTCCTTCTGGACAAAGCTCCAGTTACAGGAGTTGAGGCAGAGGTGGTTAGGGGCGATCAGGCAGGTAGGCAGGTGAGCAGTTAGGAGCCAGTGGTTCCGGATTGCGAGAGGGATGTCCAACTGCCCATATAGGCCTGATCCCTTTGGGCCTAACTGCCATCCAGCAAGGGGTCCCAGATTGGAGAGGGTGCAGGCCCGGCTGAGGGACCCAACAACTCCCTCCCCTTGCGCACAAATTTTGTGTGCTGGGCCTCTAGTTAATGAACATTAATATAAGAATAAACTCTGTATTTTGTGTACTCACAACTATAAATCTACTTTGCCCACCCATAAATAAAAAAATATAAGAAAATACATAATTAAATAGAACAGGTAATAAATTAAAAGTCAATAGTTAGTATATCTCTATAAGTAATTATTTAGATTTTTATGCAGAATTGGGTGTATATGTTAGAAAATGAATATAGGGTTGGTTCTTCTTTTTCTAATTTTTTGAGGTGTGAAGGTAGGTTTTGTTTTGTTTTTTTACTTGAAATTTTTCTTTTTAAATAGGCAGTTAGTGCTATAAACTTCCTCTTAGTTCTGCTTTTGCTGCATCCCATAATTTTAGTGTATTTTTATTTTCATTTGTGTCAAGATCTTAATTTCTCTTTGATTTCTTTTTGAATTTACTGATTGTTCAAGAGTGCATATTTGTGAATTAATGTTAATGTCTGCATATTTGTGAATTTTCCCATTATCCTTTAGCTATTGATTTTAGTTTATTCCATTTTGGTCAGAAAAGATGGTTGACTGTCTTTTTACATTTGTTAAGGCTTGTTTGTGATGTATGTAACATGTGCTCTGTCCTAAAAAATGTTCCATGTGTACTGTTCTGCTGATGTTGAGTGAAAGGTTCTGTGTAGGTCTGTCTGGTCCGTTGCTCAAATCTTGTTTCCTTATTGATGTTCTTCCCTTCAGTGCTGTCACTGTTTACTTTATATACACAGGTGTTCTGATGTTGGGTGCGTACGTTTTTATAAGTGTTGTATAATTACGGGAGTCGACCATTTGTCATTATGCAGCATTGGCCTTGGTCTCCTGTGGCACTCAGTGCATGTTAGCGCTACTGTGATCTGAACTCTTGGCTTCAAGGATGTGTGTTTCTGGTACCTTCCTGACCCTGACTTAGCCCCAGAAGTCACTGGATTCATGTATTAGCTGATCTGCAGAAGCTGAACAATGTGTTTGTCTTGTTTTGAGCTATAATATCAATATCTCTATTTTGATGGACTTTTAATCCTCATCAGCAATTTGTCATTCCCTTTCACAGTTTTACAACCTTTTATTTTTCTTCATAATCATCATCCATGGTTAGGGCACAACCCTAACTTCCACCCATACATTCAGTTACGTTAAAAAATATATGTACTGTATTATATATACATGCAGATATTGTGGATTATGCTAAATGCATTCATTTAAAAAACAATGCAAGCAGAAAAACCTGGCCTTTTCTCTCTCTAGGCAATTCGAAGTTTTCAAGTAGCCCTTCATATCTACCCAATGAACCCTGAGATATGGAAGGAAGACCTTTCTTGGGCAAGAAAGCTCCAGGAGCAGCAAAAGGTAGCACAGAGGATGAAAAAGAACGACGTACCAGAGGAAGTCACACATGTCTCACCCAAGTCCATTCCCGACTATGACTTTGAAAGTGATGAGATTGTTGCTGTTTGTGCAGCTATTGCTGAAAAACAAAAGCCAGTTTCAGATAACAAAACAATGGTTATTGTGTCAGCTTCTGGGACCGTGGAGACTGTGAGTGAGAAGGAAGATGGGGCCACAGCCCCAGATGGCTCTGTTTTTATCAAAGCCCGATGAAGCTTAGCAGGAGCTGCTTGAATCTGCCTGTTTGATTGCCACAAAGTCTTAGGCAAACGCATTTACTTTGGAGAAACAGGGTCACACTCCTGTTTGTAAATCAGTTTTTCAGATGAGGTGTATACAAACTAAAGGGTAGACTTATTATAGAGCGTTTGGACTGCGCTTTGATAAGTTATGAGTTAAACTTAAGATTAGAATTCTGACTACAGTGGTTTTTGATGAATAAACTTAATCCAAATGTATGAGTGAATACATTTTAAAGACAAAACTTGGAAGGGAATGCTCCACTAGTGAATAACTTGATGGCCAGTGTTATTAAAATATTGATTTTTTTGTGATAAAAGAAGTGGGTGATTTCTCTCTCTCCAAAAAATATACTGCTGTTACTGTTCACTCTTCTATTTTTCTTGTTTTATTAGAGTAACTTTTGTCATGAAGCTTGAGTATTCTGATGTTCATGTTTGATTCAAAATTGTCCTTTGGTTATATGTAGATTCTTTGCAAATTGAGCTGGAAATGCATGCAAATGTGTGTGTTCTGGACAATTTCTGTAGATACTCTTATGTCAGATTTATGCTTGTTTTGACTTTTAAATTACTCTCACCTTGGTAGTTGCCACCTTCAGTATTTGTTGGATGTGGGAATTACTGATACATTGTAAGAATGATAGCTTTATTTTTTCAGTTGTTAAAGTAGACAGTCCTTACCACAAGTGGGCCATTTATAAGATGTGCATTTTTTCAATGAATGGCTCTTATAGCTACATCATAAATTGTACTGCAATGTTGTCCTAGTCAAAAGCAGTATTTTCTTTATTTTTAAAAGCTTAAAAACCCTGTCCTGGTCAGTGTTGGCTGAGTTGGTTGAGAGTTCTCCCATGCACCAAGAGGTTGCTGGTTTGATTCCCAGTCAGGGCACATGCCCAGGTTGTGGGCTTGATCCCCAGAAAGGGGTGTGCAGGAGGCAGCCGATCAATGTTTCTATCTATCCCTTCTCCCTCTCTTTTCCTCTACCTCTAAAAATCAATAAGAACATTAAAAAAATAAAACCTTAAAAACTTTGAAAATAACTTACCTTCAGCTGATGCTTTGGAATTCTTTTTAAAGATAATTTGTTTGGAACTGCTCAGTAAAATGAGAAATAACCACAATTTTAAATAACTAAATTGTATCTTTCTAAAAAGAAAATGAATGTAATGATGTTATTAGAAATCCAAAGAGTGAAAAACAAGCACAGCACACTTGGAGACTGAAATGTGATTTGTGATTGGATCTCGTGAATAGAGAAGGTATATTGAAGTAGTTCATTGAAACAACAGTAGCCACAAATCAATATTGCCATTGCTAATGTGAACTGTTATCTTTGTAGCACACCCATTGTAGTACAGTTACATAGAGCTGCTGGCCCTGTTACTTCTGACCCTCAGGAAGCTTTGTTGGTGTGACATTACTTTTATCCTTGTTGGAGATGAAAGTAAGTAACTCTGTTTGAAGAAATCTTCTGTTGGAACATTTGTTAGATGCATGTAAGTATTGGTTTCTATTTTTCTGAGATGACTTAAGGTTTTCTTTTAGTAGAATGTTTACCTCTATTTTTTTTTTTTCAGAGTCTGAGAAGTCAGCATTTGCCTTAAAAGGTATTACATTTCCTCCCAAAGTTATATTAGAAATTTATCCCTGGTTGGAGAAGTTAATTTTAGAATGATCCAGAAAACAAATATAAATTATATTTTATTTTATGAAAAATATTCTAAAAGGGTGGGTAGTTGGGTGTCTAGAGAAGTTGGTATATTGTTTTGTGTTAATGAGTATTTGTTTATATATAATCTGTTAGTAGTTATTTTTCCTGTATTTTATTTTCTGTATTTTAAATATTTGCCTGTTTTGTGTTGGCTTTTGAAAAACGGGTTTTTTTTCCTTCTTTCTTATGTGAAAATGAAATATGTAAAGCACTTTGTATGTTAGTTCACATATGAAGCACTTGATAAATGCTAGCCTTTTCTATTTATGAAGAGCTCGAATTGGTTTGGAGATATAACCTCAGTTGCTTCTGATTTTAAGAAAGTAGGAGAACTTCTTTGTGATTTTTTTCTTTATCTGAAAGTGAGGAGGCACTGCTTTGGATAGTATAGGACAGATGGTCATCAATTGGGGGTCGTTCCTGGTGTAAGGTCTATGCCTCGACCCCAAAAGAGGCAAGACCCCCCCCCAGGTCGGGGTGCAGGTTGCCACTAGGTGCTGCTGAAGAATCCCTTGTTCCCTTTGAGTTGGCATCTGTAGGCCAGGTTCGTCTCCTTCTCACCCAGATACGGGACGTAAGATGGTTTACACACGGGCTGGAGGAGGAAAAGAAATCTGACTTATGGAGAGGAAAGGCAGCTCTTTTCTCCAGGCCCCAGAACATGCTGAGCTAACACTCCTCCGTGCATGAGGAGAAAATGGCAGCCATTTCTTATAGGGAGGTGAATACTGAGATACTGACACTTACTAAACTGACAGGAGAAAAAGGATTGATGTTCATGGTAAAACCAAAGATGTTTAATATACTTCCTGAAACAACACTGCACATTAAAGGCATATGGAATACAATTTGTATTTTTCTTGGTGGAAAATTATATAGCATAGACACCCATTAGTCAAAACACTATACATCCAGACCATGCCTGCTAATTTGAGAATCATGTATTATTCTCTAGACCCGTGGTTCTCAACCTTCCTAATACAGCTCCTCATGTTCTGGTGACCCCCAACCATAAAAGTATTTTCGTTGCTACTTCGAACTGTAATTTTTGCTACTGTTTTGAATCATAATGTAAATATCTGTGTTTTCCGAAGGTCTCAGGCGACCCTGCTAGCGGTTCTCAACTGCTGCTCTAGACAATAGGTTCTTGTCTTGTTATTCATCTGAAATCTAAGAAATGCTACATAAACATTGAAAAGTCATGTAATGTATAGATCACAGAACCTAAATCTATTGCAGTTGGGGTCTGTGTACAATATTTTATGGTAGTTTTAAGTTGTCATATGGCAAAACCGTAATGAAGACTTACATCAAAAAGGTTTGTCTCAGAAAGCTGGAGGTTCTATGATTATAACTTGCCAGTACAGCCTTTTTAGTTTTAAAATAAAGTTATGCTTTATGTCATGATGTCAGAAGCTAGTTTCATTGCCTTTCCGCAGTAGGAAAACGGTCAGCCATTTCTTAATTTCAAGCTTCATGAGTCAGAAGCCCTTCCGAATGGACTCTGGACTTTTATTTCATGACATAATGTATCTAAATGAGTTGTAGGTTGACATAAGAACCACAGTTTCATAATTATCTTCAAATCAATGATAATATTAAATGGTTTTTTTCTGAGAGATTATTAAACTGGTAGTGGATTATTTTGTAATTGATGGCATTTTAGGATTGAAAGGGAATGTGTTTTTTTTTAAACATCGATATAGAAAGGAGGCGAACTTCTTTTACCAAAGGAAATTGAAATGTGCCGCTTCAGTCATTTGCAATTCAGGAGGCCCACTTGAATGGAGAAGGGCAGCCCTGTAGCTGGCCCGCCATGAACCGTGCCTAAATGTGTGCTGTGTGTGAACTTCACCTGTCGTGTGTGCCCAGGTGGAAGGAAGGCTGAGAAACGTTGGCCTTCACTTTGTTGGGAGGCAGAGGGTAGAGATGGCTTCTTTGCACATCTATTAGCCAAGGAATCCTGATCTCTCTCTTCCCTTTTCCTTCCCACCCCTTCAGGTAGAGGGAGTTTAGAATAAGTAACTGGACATTAAAGCTCCTTTCCTTCATTTGGATTCATCTTGCCTACAGAGAGCCAAACTTAACAGTGTGTAAGCTTGGCAGTGAAGGCTCTCTGCCTCTGTGGCTGGGCAGGACTGCTCACACTGGGTGAGTAGGTCTCTAATTCTGGGTTTGCTATTAGCTGGCCGTCGTTGGCATGAATCTAAATTGCATCCTTTAACCTAGACTTTAACAGTAATACATCCGACATACTGGTTCTCCACCTGCCTGACTTTTTTTTGTCTCTCAGATGTTTCAGAAGTCAGGAGGAGGAATGGGTACTATATGCCTCCTTCTAACCCTCAACAAAAAATGTCAAATTACAGTGGGGAGGGTTAGGGAGATCTGGGGGAGATAAGAGGTCAACCGAAGGACTTGTATGCATGCATATAAGTATAACCAATGGACACAAAACTCTGGGGAGGGAGGGCATGCATGGGAGTGGGGGGGGGGGCAATGGTAAGATATGTACACATAATTTAATAAATAAATTTAAAAAATAAATCTGAGGAAGAAAAAAAATGAGTGTAGGTTATATTTCAAAGTAAGCACGCGACAAAAACCAAATTAGAAATGTTTTCTAATTCTAGATTTTTTCCCCCTTTTTTTTGTAAATCATGGAAATTCTATTGAAATGGGTAATCTTAATTACAAGGTAGCATGTACGTATTTTCCGGCATATAAGACGACCCCCTAATTTTACAGTTAAAACATAGGTTTAGGCCTATATTCACTGTATAAGACTACCCCCCACTTCAAAGAAAAGACTTATTTTGCCTTCAAGATCTGCAGGTAATTTTTGTGCAATTTTGGTCTTTTGCCCCCGATTTTCGGTTGACTGTTTTTCGTTTCAAAGGTCATCTTATACACCGGAAAATATGGTAAACGTTTGTTCAGGATATTTAAAAGGTCTATTGACTTTTAATTGTGATAGACCACAATGTTAACTCTAGTTTTAATTGGAAAGAAAGAATGTGAGACGAACTATGATATCCTCTGTGAACGTGGTCAACTTTCTTACATATAATACAACACATCCATTATAAATTTACATAGGAGGAGTTTAGACATGTGAATGCCTATGCAATCACCATTACCATCAAGATACAGAATATTTCCATTGCCCACACAGTTCTCTTAGGCGCATTTGCAGTCATTCTCTTCCACCCCAACATCCAGTACTGTTATGCTCCCTGTGACTATAAATTAGATTGAATTTTTCTAGAATTTCAAATACAATATGTACTTTGTGTCTGACATTTTTTGCTCAGTATAATACTTTTGTGATCTATCTATGTTACTGTGCATGTCTGTAATATGTTCCTTTCTATTGCTGAGTATTATTCTGTTGTACGGATATAACACAATTTGTAGCTTTTCATATTGTTGATGGACATCTAGGTTGTTGATGAACATCTTGAGTTTTGATCTGTTATGAATAAAGCTGCTATGTATATGTGTTACAAGATGGTGTGTGGGTATATGTTTTCACTTCTCTTGGGTAACTACTTGGTGGTGGAATTGCTGAGTTTTAGGGTAAGTATGTATGTGTCTGTAGAGGAAATGGTGACATTTTCTGGTTTTCTTTTGTATCAGCAGTGTATTGAGAAGTTTCAGTTACTCCATCTCCTTGTCAGTACTTGGTATTGCCATTGCTTTCCATTTGAGGAACTTAGTGGATGTGCAGTGTCTCTCATTGTGGTTTTAATACACATTTCCCTGGTTATGTTGGGCATCTTTTCATTTGTGTATTTGACATTTGCATCTTCTTTTTGGGAAGCACCTGTGCACATCTCTTCCCTAGTTTTTATTTGGGTTATCTTTATATTGAGCTGTAAGAAATCTTTTTCTGTATTCTGGATAAAAATCCTTTATGAGATCTATGGATTGTAAATATTTTGTCCCTATCAGTGGCTTGCCTTTTTGTTTTCTTAATGTCTTATGAAGAGCAGAAGTTTTAGATTTTGATGGAGTCCAGTTTTCATCTTTTTTTTTTTTTTTTTTTTATGGTTATAGTTTCTGTGGGCTGAGAAATCTGCTTATGTACTTCAAAGTCAGAAAGTATTTCTATTTTCTGCTAGAAGTGTTATATTTTTAGCTTTTATAGTTAGGTCTGTGATCCATTTCAAGTTAATTGTAGGTATGGTTGGAGGTAAAGGTTGAGTTTTTGTTTTGTTTTTATACCCAGTTATTCAAGCACTATTCATTGAAGAACTCCAACTTTGTTGAAAATCAGTACACCATGTACTGAAGGTTTGTCTGAGCTCTGTATTCTGTTACACTGATGTACACTGGGTGGCCAGGTTATTATGTTCAGATATATATATTGTAATATATATATATATATACACACACACACACACACACACACACACTCAATATATATATATATTAGAGGCCCAGTGCATGAATTTGTGCATGGGTGGGGTCTGGCCAACCTGGCCAGGGGGAGGGAACATGGGCGGTTGATCAAACTCTTGGTCGAGGGGACAATTTGCAGATTAGCCTTTTATTATATAGGATATACATTGAGTGGCCAGATTATTATGTGTTCAGAAATCATAATAATTGGCCACTCAGTGTATATGTCTATTCTTAGGCCAGTAACACACTGTCTTGATTACTAGCTTCAAAATTGTAGCCTTAAAAAAAAAATCAGTCCCCCCCCCCCCCCCCCCCCAATATTGTCCCATATCCTCATTTTGTTTAATTTTGTTCATTAGGTACCACATATTAGTGAGATCACATGGTATTTTTCTTTCTCTGACTGGCTTATTTCACTTAGCATAATACACTCCAGGCCCATCTATGTGGTCCCAAAGTGTAAGATTTCCTTCTTTTCTGCAGCTGTGTAATATTCCATTGTGAAAATGTACCACAGCCTTTTTATCCAGTTATCTGCTGATGGGCACTTTTTGTCTATAAAAAAAAAAATCACACTGTTCTCTCCAAAACTGAGGAACTCA